AAAGCCAGGGGTATCACTTACATTTTGTCTGTGCGAGTAAACATCCATGGTGGAATATCTCCGGATAGTGAGTTGTTATTTAGAAACCTACGTACATGGACAATATTAGATCTCAAAATAACAAATTTAACCTCAAAATTAAAATAGGAAATAAATTATAACATCTTATGAAGTAGTTGCGTTGCATACAAGGTGTCAAAGTCTATAAATTGAAATAATTCGGGAATTGAATCATTCAGCTGGTTGAAGCTCAGGTCTCTGCAAATAAAAAAAACAGTTCAGACAAAAATTTAATCAATAAAACTATCGCACAAAGTGTCAAAAAAAAATAATCTTAACATGAATACTACTACTAGCAACTGACTTACATGTTTTTTAACTCGTTGTATCCTCCATCAATGTAGTCAGGTAGTGGGCCAGTAAGAAAACAATTTCTCAAAATCCTGTAGCAAAATTATATTATATGTAAGTATTGTAACAAACAATATTTATTTTCTTTCACACAATTTATTTAATCAACTCACAAATCCTCCACATTTGTCATATTCTTCATATTAGGAAATGGGGTACTTGATGATCCAGTCAAATCAGATATCCTCCTGATATCAAATAAGTTCAATGTTAATAAAGTCTATTACCAGAAAACTAGTGACTGAAAATTTAACAAAAATAAAATAATGTGCTCTTTCTCACAATGATTTCAGCTTTTTCAACAGAGATATTGTAGAAGGAATGGGTCCAGACATGCTCGTTCCTTGCATATCACTGCAAAATAAATTATATATGATTGGAGTTTTAAAATTTATTATGAAAACAAAGAGAGTAAAATAATACTCACAGTATTGTGAGATTTTTCCAGTTTCCGATAAAATCAGGTATTCTCCCAGATAATGTACTCCCATCTATCCTACTGCAAAAAAAAAAAAAAAAAAAAAAAAAAAAGGATTAAATAATTTATATAGAGTATTTAATGACTCGCTATAATTAATATATGACTTACAACTGTTCTAAATTAGCTAGATTGCCATATGAAACCGGTATAGTTCCAGTAAAGTTATTTGCAGAAACAACGCTGCAATAAAAAAAAAAACAAAAAAAAAATCTTGTTAACAACATTAAAATATAAACATTATATATTAAATTAATCTTAATTACAATCTTCTCAAGCGAGACAAGCGTCCAAGTTGTGGAGGAAGTGGTCCTCCAAGCAAGTTGTTTTCCACGACCCTAATTAAAGGTCAAAATAGTAAATTCATTATAAGGTCACATATGATATATGATTAAAGGGTAAAGACGAAAACCAAGAATCTTTGCTTACAGTTCCTCAAGTGTAGAAATATTAGCTAATTGTGCAGGTATGGAACCACTGATGCGATTCCCCCCAATACTCCTATGGAAAATACAGTGTCAAAAGTATATTCACAAGGGCAAAAAGGGAAACTTGAAACAAAAAGTAACTTACAAAATAATAAGAGGAAGCTGGCTGAAACTTGCGGGAATAGGGCCACCGATATAGTTGCGAGTCAGATCTCTGTATGTATGAAAAATGTATCATATTAAATACAACAGGCATTTTAATAAATTTACTAATTTAACATAATTAGAAATTGATGGTGATTGGTGGATTTACATTTCTTGCAGAAAAGTGAGATTCGCAAATTCCTCAGGGAAAATTCCGTTCAAGTTCATTTTTTTCACCTGGCTGCAATTTAATACAAGTATTGAAAATATCAAGTAAACATTGATTAGTGACGTAATTAATTAATAGTATATGTTATAGAAAGAAAGATAGATGCATACATGTTTGTTATGTGGCAAAAAGTACTATTAGTGATGTTACAGTTGCAAGTTACATTGCTTCCAACTTCCATAAGATGTCTCCTTGCAGCTCTAGTATCATTGGAAATTATCTGTTGTAGCCCTACACCTGTAGTGCATGAATCTCTAGAAACATTCCACCTAGTGTTTTGTAGCTTTGAGGCTATCACTTTCATAGTTTCAACTGTTACAAATAAAAAAAGGGAATTATATATAAACTGGCATTTATTATTTAGTCATGCATATAGCTGTCAAACTTTCATAATAAGTTGAATTGTTCAGAAACTTGGTAAAAGGTCATTACATGATTGTAGATTGGTGGAAAAGAACAAACTTCCTTGTTAATTTTTAAACTGTTTAGAGGAATGGATCAAGATCATAACGGACGATATTGAAATTATATCAAAAAAGATGAAATAAATCCCCACAAGAAGGAAGTAGGTTATAAATTATAAATGTCAATTATACACGCTATATGAAAAAAAGAAATTCATATATTTTAATTTGCATGGTTGACGAAAAGAAAACGACATCCATTCAGCCACCCAATTACATACATCAAATATGTCTTTTTATCAAAAAAAAAAAAAAAGACTTTTTATGTCAAGGCTAGCCTTAAATGCATCCAGCTGGCCAAACGCCATATGGTCAAAGTCAAACTATCTGAGAGAGGGCCCTTTAAACCAACTCCTAGAACATGAGATAACTATTTCGTCAATGATAGAAAAAAAAAAAAGCAGTAAAGGAATCAAAGTAGAATAGGACTAAACTGTTAGGTGTATATATATATATATATATATATATATATATATATATATATATATATATATATATATATATATATATATATAGTGGCGAATCCAGAAATTTTGACATGGGGGTACATTCATTGTTAATATATTATATATAGTTATCTATTATCGGACATTAAAAACATGTTACAATTTCTTTAGTTGGGGGTATAATAACATAAAACATGTTTACAAATAATATTTTTTATATATATAAAACAATTTTTTAGGGGTACTGTAGTACCCTCAACGCTCCATCTAGCTCCGCCACTATATATATATATATATATATATATATATATATATATATATATATATATATATATATATATATATATATATATATATATAAAAGAAAAAGAAAACAATATATAGAAGGGGTCCATAATTTTGAAGGCAGAATTAATTGAATGGGGTTATAGGGATGCAAGTTGATATGAACTTTGGGGTCCATACAAACCTATTGCGATAAATACTTCATTTGACCTTGGATATTTTTTACAATAATGGATTTTATACCATGTCACCAATATTAATTATTAAGGTGTAGCTATAGTAATACATTCTTAACCATTGTGTTGATTGTGATAATTGCATTTTTATTGATATTACTAAACGGTATGTATTTTAAATATTATTAATAATAAGATATTTGTATTAAGAAATGTCTTAAAAGGACTACTACTGTAATATCCATAGAATATTACTTGTTTTCATTAAAACAATAAAATATTATCCCTTAGTTAACAGTGAGTCAAACCTAGGTAACAAGTATTTTTGTAGTTATTTCCCATACTTGAATAATCATAAAGTAATCTGCTAAAATGTGGTTAAGTGACTTAAGTCCAAATCTGGGAAAACTTTTTGGAGAGATCAAAGTATTTTCGATGAAGTGAGTGAAGTAATCAAAAGTTTTGTAACTTTCTGGGAAAAAAATGTTTTTATCTGCTTTACCATGAAATCAATACCGTACAGCTTCCTTTTACAGTTCAATGAGCACCAAAACAGATGTTTAAGCGACTTCCATAAAGGTAAAAGAGAGACTGGATAACATAGCGATTATCATCGACTATCCAAATAAAGCTTTACTCCGAAATCAATTTTCTCGAAACGCAAATTGCAAAGTCAAATCAAGAGAAGCATCAGATTCGTTCAAACATTCAGAACAATATATAAGTAGTGACTAAAACAACAGAAATGTTGATGAACGGAGATCAATTAAAATTAAAGAAAACTGTACCTTCTTTATCAGGCAAAAGCTGAGCAGCGGATCTGGTATCACGAAGACTCGTCGATAAGAACAGTAGAAGGATGAAGAACTTGAATAATCCCGACATCTTCCATAGAAACGACTCTATAATGCGACTTCCTTTTATCATTATAACGACTCCACCGACTAGAGTTCTCCGTCTTCCTCAGAGAGAGAGAGAGAGAGAGAGAGAGAGAGAGGCGGGAAGATAAATGGCGACTGCAGTTGGGTTTCTATAAATGGCAATTGCAGTTGGGTTTCTTATTTGCAGAGAGAGATGGGAATATACAGTAACAGTGACTAAATCATACACAAAATGCCAAGTTGTTAACGATAACGGGAGTCAAATTTGAGTCGGTAGATAAACAATCGCCATGTCAGAAACGTTACCGTTAACTTTAACGATCTTCTCATCTTCCTAACAACTAACCTAACTCAAAGTCTCAAATACATCGTTCTTGACCAGTTTTGACTTTTCAACGAGATTAATAAAAACAATTTAAAATTTTCATTTAATTTTAAAATTAAAAGACGAGCTTTACACACGGTCCTGTCGTTGTCGTGTTTTAATTTGCGGTTAACATTTCAAAAGCTATGTTTATGACTATTCTTTGGTTTTTTTTTTTTTTAATCGGCAAATACAAATATACTAATCTAGTCTTAAACTAGCACAGTAACACCTAATTTCACCTATGTCCACGACGGGACTTGAACCTTCCGGAGGACACCACCTAACACCGCTGGGCTAGAAGCCTATTTTTTTATTCTTTCGTTTTCTGATTTATTATTTTTAATGCGATTAGTCATATACATAATTGATGTAAAAAAAACCATAGCCCATGAGACAAATTTAAACAAAATTTTGCAAAAATTACATTGTGATAATCGATCTAAAACCAAAATTTAAACATATTTTGTACACCTCACACATGTATAATATAGGTATAAATGAAGAAATAAATTACGGATTCACATATCAACATCATAAAGATCGGGAAGAAGCTTCGTCCCAGAAGAAGGCATACCCTGTGTCTCATCCTTATACAAGGATGTATCATTCCAGAGACTGGGGCCTTGACTATCTGCTGAGATAGTTGAGACTTGTGTTTGACTATCATGTGACATCATGTCAAAAGCTTTAAACTTTATGTCAGTATTCCCCACCCCTCGTTTCACCACTGGGGGCAAAAGTGGTAATTTCCCTTCCAACATTTTGACGACTGATGACATTGGTGGGCGAAGTGTTGGTGATATATTCGTGCATAGGATAGCCAAATTTAACATCATCAGGGCTTCGTCTTTTGAGTATTTAACAAGACCTGGGTCCACTAAGTCCAAGAGACCCCCTTGCTCTTGTAGAACATACGCCTGATTACAAACAAAAGTTATTAATTTTGGCCTTAAGGGAAATACCCGTTAAAATATAATTGAAAATAGCAACATACTTTCCCATTGTAATAAATTTGAACTATATACTTTAGTTTTAACCCGTAACAACAATGTAGTTGTGATTTTCTACCAAACACAACAGTTTTTAACGAATTTGAGTTTTCATTCAACTCTTTTGCTTCGAGTGAAACTACAGTTTTGGTTTTTGATTTAGCTCATTTTTTGGTTTTGGTCCCTAATGTATCCTTTTTGCAATTTCGGTCCTTATTTCTTGTTTTTGTAACGCTTTTGGTCCCTGCTCAAAGCAAAATGACTATACTAACCTTTGTCTGATTTTTTTATAGATATGTGTTATTTGTTTTAGTTTTAGTTTTGCATTATTATTATATTACAAATTTTACAAAGAGAATTATGAGGGAGGGTAATATAGTCATTTTATTTGGATCGGGGACCAAATGCATTACGAAAACCTCAAATAAGGACCAAAACTGTGAAAAAGGAAATTTCAGGGACCAAAACCCTTATGAAAACCCACAAACAAGGAGGAAAACGGCAAAAAGGAAACTTAATGAACCAAAATCGAAAAAATGAGCTAAACTCAGATTGAAATTGAATTAACTTATTTACTTATGTGGTATGCAACCAATGATGACGTGGCAAAAACAATCTTCAAATACTGTATTACCACATAAGAAAAAAGTTGAAAAAAAATTCAAAATGGCAACCGGTTTTAAAAATTCTTTTTTTGAAAAGAAGCCGTAAATACATTACTAGTATCACTATGGATAAAAATTAAAGTGTATCGCCCATATATGTATATAAAAAAAGCAAAGTACGTTGCTATTTCCTGCAATTGTATTAAAAAAAAAAAATTTGAAGTTACCCAATCAAGAAGGTAGACAAACTCCTCCTTTGGCCTATAATTTGTGTTGCTTTTCCCACTCACAATCTCCAACAACACAACTCCAAAGCTGTAAACATCTGCTTTATCTGTCAAGTATCCTCTCATTGCATATTCTGGAGCCATATACCCTCTACATATTTACACCATTAAAATATGTCACATTTTTAATGAAGTTAAATGGTAAATAATATAAAATAAAAAGAAATACGCAGTCTCACATTGTTCCAGCAATTCGTGTGCTGATATGAGTATCCTCTTCTTCATCAAGTTTTGCCAAACCAAAATCCGATATTTTAGCATTTAAATCCTTGTCAAGAAGCACATTTGTGGCCTTAATATCTCTATGAACTATTTTTAATCTTGACTCCTCATGTAAATAAGCTAACCCCTTTGCGATTCCCATACATATCTTCTTTCTTGTTGACCAGTCCAAATTAAGCTTCTGGTTATCTTTACCTATAAAAATTTCACAATTTTTTTTTGTTAAAAACAACCAGGAAACTGCATGATGGATAGTGAAAACTACTAAATGTTTGTGGTTATTTACCAAAAAGGGCACGTGCGAGACTGTTGTTGATGAGGTATTCGTATACAAGCAACAACTCTTTTCCTTCGATACAACAACCATAAAGCTTCACGAGATTTGGATGTTGTAAAGCGGATATCATTCCTATTTCAGTCACAAATTCACGGTTTCCTTGTTTTGATCTGGCTGAAAGTTGCTTCACAGCAATCTCAGAACCATCCGAGAGTACACCCTGTGATTCCACAAAACGCATAAACTTTAATATAAATATAAAAATGGAATGTTACTATTTTCTGCAATTTGCCCAAATAAAAGGCCACATTTGAAACTTACCTTATAAACTGGTCCAAATCCTCCTTCACCGATCTTGTTTGCAGGATCAAAGTTATGAGTAGCAGCTTTAATTTGTCGCAGGCTGAAATACCCCGTTTGTAATTCAAGCGCCCGAAGCTCTGTTGTTACAACAATTAAAAGCAGTTAGAATTGTATAAAAATCTTAAAGTCATAATTTATTTATTTTTTATGTATATTGTGTCTCGCCTTTATCTTCTTTGTCTCCTCCAATATAGCCTCTCCACCAAAGCAGAGCTAAAATTAGGAGTATAAACGCGCATGAACCAATCACAATTCCAGCAATAGCACCAGCAGAAATCCCGCCTGTACTGACATTATAGTCTGCAACAAGGTCAAATCAGTAATTTATACATGCTTTTAGGCTCGATTCTTCAATTTTTTGTCCCACTCAAAAAGGTGGGATAATAGTATTACTTACTTGGTGTTATTGCGATGGCTGATAAAAGAGGTCCATAAACACCTCGCTCCGGAACGCCAGTTGTCCCCTTTCCAGCCCAGTACAAGTGAATCTCCAACGTGCTACCAGTAACCGTAACATTATCAAAATCTATGAAGGTCCCATTTCCAACACCTCCAGCTCTTTCCACAATACTAAAGTCTTTCCGCTCCAAAACACCCTAAAACAAAATTAAATTCATAAACTAAAATTTATATACGATCAAAAAAAAATTGGGAAGTGTTATTCTATTATTATAGACGTAAATATCATTAATTGTTACTGACTTGAATTGATATATCGAAATAGCGTCTTCCAAGGCTTGCAAATGTGGAATCGTTCGTGAAACTGATTTCAGCGAAATGGAGCCTCACTTTATAACTCCCTTCCCTCAAACATAATCCGTAGTACCTAAGTGAAGTTGGAGAAAAGCGAGCTGTTGTGTATATATCGCCACCTGTCACATCCGTATTGGTTCCAGTAAATGGGGCTGTTCCAGAGCCCATGAAAATACCGGTACTGCTATAAGCCCATCCATCCGATTCTGTATAGAAGTAAGCTTGCTCGTTGCTTACGTCCCTTTGATATTCGTTTCCTTCAAACACTGTGCTATCTCCACCACAGTTAATAAACAAAGAATGATCTGGAATTTGAGATAAGGATTAAGATTTAGATTTCGATACTGATATAATATAATAATTTACAAAATAGACAAGGGTTTTTTACTAATTTCTTACACGTTGGGTTTCTGCTGCAACCAACTTCGTCTCTTAAACACCAACTTTCTCTGAAAGAGTCATTAACATGTTAGGTGACATCATTATAGACAGTTAGAAAAGTTTTATGTGTGGTAGATCGCAGGAAATAGCAACGTACTTTACTCTTTATAACAATATAAGCAATGTAATTTAATTTTTTACCCAAAATAGTAAAGTACACTGCTTTTATCAGTAAAGTTTTTTTTTTTTTTTTTTTTTTTTTAAATGTACATTGTTATTCTATGGTTTTTTTGTGAATGGGTTGACATAGGACATACCTGTTGGTTGCAGTGGCTGAAGGTGATAGGGCTGAAACCAAATTCCTGTTATAAATAAATGTATATATAATTAGTGATCAATGAAAATAAAAAAGTATATGGTAAAGGGTAAAATAGGAAAAAACTCACACTCTAGATGACCCACAAGTTTGTTGTGTAGTATTTGTAAAATCGTTGTAAGATAAGTCACTGCAGTTAACATAATGGTAATCTTTTAGCTCCAACTCCATAACATCAATATAATGGCAACATACCAACATACTCACTTATAGCATAATGATAATAGCAACATATTTTGCTCTTCGTTACCAATATAGGAAATGTAGTTTATATTTTACCCATAAATAAGCAACGTACTTACCTTTTGGTACACATTATGTATAAATTTTTTTTGGGAAAATGACTTAAAAGCCCAAGAAAGTTTCCAAACTATTCAAAAAATCCCGATCATGTTTTGTCTGTTTAAAATAACCCAACGAACTTAACTTTTTGTCTAAAAAGTCCAGCAAAGTTCCAAACCATCCAAAAAATCTCAATTTTGTTTTGTTTAAGTTCATTGGGTTTTTTTTTGAACAGTCCAAACATGATTGAAGTTTTTTAAACGTTTTGGAAACTTTGTTGGTGTAACAAGTCATTTTCCGGATACGGTAATAAGTCACGTCATCTATTTATCTTATTTGAGTTTCAGAAAAATGTAACTTAGTTGGGCTTTTTAGACAAAATGTTAAGTTTGTTAGGTTTTTTTTAACAGACAAAACATGATTGGAGTTTTTTGAATATTTTGGAAACTTGGTTGGGCTTGTAAATCATTTTCCCAAAAAATTTATATCATGAATTACATATTGCTATTATTGGTAAAAATGTAAAGGCATTGATATTATGGGGAAATTATGAAGTTATATTGCCTATATTGGTAAAAAGAGTAAAGTAAATTGCTATTTCGTGAAAATTTTCCTAAGAATAATAATAGTGAAGGGGTATCAGTATCACTTACATCTTGTCTGTGCGAGCAAATATCCATTGTGGAATCCCTCCGGATAGTAAGTTGTTATTCACAAACCTACATCCATGTACAATAATATTACATTCCCAAATAACAAATTTAACCTCAAAATCAAAATAGGAAATAAAATTGTGACAAGTAATTGCTTACAAGGTGTCAAAGTCTACAAATTGAAATGAATCGGGTATTGAACCATTCAGCTGGTTGAAGCTCAGGTCTCTGTAAATAAATAAATAAAAATCAGACAAAAAATTTTAATTAATAAAACTATAGCACCAAAAAAAAATACTAGCAATTGACTTACATTTCTTTTAAACTGGATCGTCCATTAATGTAAGTAGGTATTGAGCCAGTAAGCAAACAATTTCTGAAAACCCTGTATAAAAATTAAATATAAGTATTACAACACACTTACTATGTTAAATTATTTAATTTTCTTTCATACAAATAATTTTATCAACTCACAATTCCTCCAATCTTGTCATATTCCGCAAATCAGGAAATGGGGTACTTGATGATCCAGTCAAATCAGATATCCTCCTGATATAAACTATAAAGTAAGTATAATGCTAAAGTCTATTGACTGAAAATTCAACAAAAACAAAATAATGTGGTCTTCTCACAATGATTCCAAGTTTCTCAAACGAGATATTGTAGAAGGAATAGGTCCAGACATATTCGTTCCTTGCATATCACTGCAACATAAATTATATATGAATATAGTTTTAAAATTTTTAATGACAATAAAGAGGGTGAAAATTAAAATAATACTCACAGTCTTGTGAGATTTCTCCAGTTTCCGATAAAATCAGGTATACTCCCAGATAATGTACTCCCATCTATCCTACTGCAAAAATGTTTAAAAAAAAGGATTCAATAATTTATATAGATTATTTAATGAACATGATTATACTTTATAAATGATATCTATGACTTACAAATCTTCTAAATTAGTCAGATTGCCATATGAATCAGGTATAGTTCCAGTAAAGTTATTTGCAGAAGCAACGCTGCAATTAAAAAAATCTTGTTAACAACACTAAAATATAAACATTATAAAATAAGTATATAATAAAAAATCTTACAATCTTCTCAAGCGAGACAAGCGTCCAAGTTGTGGAGGAAGTAGTCCTCCGAGCAAATTGTCTTCCACAACCCTAAAGGTCAAAATAGTAAATTCATATTCTCATATGATATAGTAGAGATGAAATGCAAGGATGAAGGATCTTTACTTACAGTTCCTCAAGTGTAGAAATAGCAGCTAATTCATCAGGTATGGAACCATTGATGCGGTTCCCCAAAACACCCCTATGGAAAATACATTGTCAAAAATACATTCACAAGGGCAAAATGGGAAATTTGAAACAAAAAAGTAACTCTTACAAAATGATAAGAGGAAGCTCGCTGAAACGTGTGGGAATAGGGCCACTGATATAGTTGCGAGTCAGATCTCTGTATGTATGAAAAATGTATCATATTAAATACAACAGGCATATTAATAAATTTAATAATTTAACATAATTAGAAATTGATGGTGATTGGTGGATTTACATTTCTTGCAGAAAAGTGAGATTTGCAAATTCTTCAGGTAAAACTCCAGTCGCGTTCATTTTTTTCATCTGGCTGCAATTTAATACAAGTATTGAAAATATCAGTAAACATTAATTGGTGACATAATTAATTAATAGTATATGTTATAGAAAGAAAGATAGATGCATACATGTTTGTTATGTGGCAAAAAGTACTATTAGTGATGTTACAGTTGCAAGTGATATTGCTACCAACTTCCATAAGCTCTCTCCTATCAAGGGAAATTATCTGTTGTAGCCCTACACCTGTAGTGCATGAATCTCTAGAAACATTCCACCTAATGTTTCCTAGCTTTGAGGCTATCACTCTCACAGTTTCAACTGTTACAAACAAACAAAAAAAAAAGGAATATATTATTTAGTCATGCATATAGCTGTCAAACTTTCATAATAAGTTGAATTGTTCAGAAACTAGGTAAAAGGTCAATAAATGTTCAAAAGATAGGTTAACTAATTTGTAGATTGGTGGAAAAGAACAAACTTCATTGTTAGAATTTAAATTGTTTAGAGAAATGGATCAAGATCATAACGAACGATATTGAAATTATATCAAGAAGTTGGAAATAATCTATAATCCCCACAAGAAGGAAGTAGGTTATAAATTATAAATGTCAATTATACACGCTATATGAAAAAAAAAAAAAAAAAAAAAAAAAAAACATATATTTTTGCACGGTTGACGAAAAGAAAACGACATCCATTCAGCCGCACATCTACATACATCAAATGTCTTTTCATCAAAAAAAAAAAGTCTTTTTATATCAAGGTTAGCCTTAAATGCATCCAGCTGGCCAAACGCAATATGGTCAAAGTCAAACTATCTGAGAGAGGGCCCTTTAAACCAACTCCTAGAACATGAGATAACTATTTCGTCAATGATAGAAAAAAAAAAAAAAAAAAAAAGGAAAAAGCAGTAAAGGAATCAAAGTAGAATTAATAGGACTAAATTGTTAGGTAGGGTATTATTTTATTCTATGTAAAGTTAAAAATTTAAGAAAAAGAAAACAATATATAGAAGAGGACCATCAAAGCTGACATGGTGAACAGGTGAAGGAACTAGGAAGCACGTTACATTGGATCGATAATTTTGAAGGCAGAATTAATTGAATAGGGTTATAGGGATGCAAGTTGATATGAACTTTGGGGCCCATATATACCTATGGCGATAAATACGTCATATGATCATATTATTAAATGGTATGTATTTTAAATATTACTAATGGTAAGATATTTGTATTAAGAAATGTCTTAAAAGGACTACTATAATATCGAAAGAATATTACTTGTTTTCATTAAAACAATAAAATACTCTCCCTTAACAGTGTGATCATATAAGAAGTCAAACCTAGGTAACAAGTATTATACTTTTCTAATTTTTGATATTTTATCCTGTCATCTCAATTATCTTAGATCATTCATGACATATTGACATATATTCAATTTTTGTTATCTTATTATTATTGTCGTTATATCCCATACTTGAATAATAATAAAGTAAATTGCTAAAATGTGAGTTAAGTTCAAATCTGGCCAAACTTTTTGGAAAGATCAAAGTATTTTCGATGAAGTCAACGAAGTAATCAGAACTTTTGTAACCTTCTGGGAAAAAAATGTTTTTATCTCCTTGAAAGCTGTACAATGAAATCAATTCCGTATAGCTTCCTTTTACAGTTCAATGAGCACCAAAACAGATGTTTATGCGACTTCCATAGGGTAAAAGAAAGACCGGATAAGATAACGACTATAATCGATTATCTAAATCAAGCTTTGCTCCGAAATCAATTTTCTCGAAACACAAATTGCAAAGTCAAAATCAAGAGAAGCATCAGATTCGTTCAAACATTCAGAACAATAACTAGCTAGCGACTAAAACAACAGAAATGTTGATGAACGGAGAGCAATTAAAAATTATGGAAAATTGTACCTTCTTCATCAGGCAAAAGCTGAGCGGCGGATCTGGTATCACGAACACTCGTCGATAAGAACAATAGAAGGATGAAGAACTTGAATAATCCCGAAATCTTCCATAGAAACGACTCTATAATGCGACTTCCTTTTATCATTATAACGCCTCCACCGACTAGAGTTCGCCGTCTTGCTCAGTGTGTGTGTGTGTGTGTGAGAGAGAGAGAGAGAGAGAGAGAGATGAAAGGCGGGAAGATAAATAGCGATTGCAGTTGGGTTTTCTTATTTGCAGAGAGATGGGAAATTGGCAAGTTGTTAATGATAACGGGAGTCAAAGTTGAGTCGGTAGATAAACTATTGCCAAGTCAGCAACGTTACCGTTAACTTTAACGATCTTCTCATCTTCCTACAAGTAACCTAAATACATCGTTCTTGACCAGTACGACTGTTCAACGAAATTAATAAAAACAATTTAAAATTTTCATTTAATTTTAAAATTTAAAGACGAGCTTTACACAAGGTCCTGTAGTTGTCGTGTTTTAATTTGCGCTTAACATCACAAAAGCTATGTTTGTTTATGACTATTCTTTCGTTTCCTATTTACTATTATTTTTAATGCAAGTAGTTCTACATAATTGATGTAAAAAAATAATTTTTATTTATTTTTATTTTAGAAACATATTTTTATAAGAGATGTTTCCTTTTTTATATAATTTACCATTTATAATAAAACATTTTTAATTATTATCATATTAATATTAATATTTTCACTTACGTCGTGTTATAATTTGTAGTCTCATCATTCATCATCATCAATGTGTTTTTTTCCATCCATGACCTACAATTTAAGAATGTAGGGTGTTGACAGCATACCTACTCTCCCATCTTTTTTTCTATTTTGGACGACGGTCCAAGGAAAACCAAACCACACATTAATGAAGTTTTGTAAAAAAAAAAAAAAAAAAACAAAGTTTACAACGTTTTAATATATTTGTGTAGTTTCAATTTATTAATCAAAAGGTGGTAGAAATAATTTTTTGGTTTTGTTATTTTAAATCAAAATAATTACCTAGAAAATAGAAGACATGTGATGATGAAATGATAGACAATTGTGTTGGAAGCATGTAGTAGGGATGAAAGTAGCGGTTGGAATTGATAGAAACCCAAAAAACTTTGAAATCGATTAACGAGATTTTATAGGATCGGTATATAAGAACCGGTTTCGGTTCGTTTTCAGGTATAGTACCAAGTTGATAGATGTTATTTTATATATCTTTTATGATAGTTTTTTTATTAACATTTTGCATCATATTTTATGCATTTTCATATGCATTAACTTAAATAATGTTCAACTCGTGTCTTTCATCAGAATTCTCGTACTGTTTATGTTTTGATGTCGTTTTCAAATAATTCAAGTGGAGTAAGGATTTGGGAGCAGTTTTGGATGCGTTTAATGGAGCATTGGAACTAAACTAGAGCTTGGAACTTATGAAGGGTGCTTGGAAGCTATTTTGGACAATGAAAAACGAACATTTCGCGTGAAAACCCACAAATTCGATTGTGTTTCTTTAGAAATTCTATCGTGTAAAGAGTTTGAGGATTGTTTGCCTTAATTTGAAGTTTTATGAAGAAAAGTAAAAAATGCAATCGAATTTTCCTCACAAATTCGATCGTGTAAACATGTTGCAGTTCCAAAATAGTCAAAAATCATGTTTCGGTACCTCGAAGTGTTAATTCAATCTTGTTTTCCCACAAAACACGATCATGTTTTTGTCAAATATGCCCAAAAAGCAACATACCTCATTAGACGATCGAATCAGACAGTTTTAAGGAAGGGCATAACACGCTTCCTTATAAGTGTGGCGCACCTATCAATTTTTCTGGCGGTATGTTCCGATTTTGCTACTAAGTTGGTATAAATTGTCCCTAATAGAACCCTAATCGTAAGAAATCATTCCCATGCGACTATAGAAAATTTTAGAGGTGAATTTTCTCTGTTTTCACCACTTTCTAACGACCTGAAGGTTGTAAATCATCTTCCTCATCTGGTTTAGTAAGAATTAGTAGTTTAATCTTTCTTTTTATTATCTTTGATCGGTTTTTATCCATGTAATAATTAGTTAGAATATAATAATATAAACACACACACACACACACACACACACATATATATATATATATATATATATATATATATATGGATAGTTCAAATAAAAACAATAAATAGTATGAGAACGTAAAAACATTATTTATATGTTATTAATCTGCAATGAATTTTGTATCCACAACTTTATGTCATTATTCAACAATGAATTAATAAATAGTTACATGTTAAAACTAAAATTAGAATTTAGTACAAAAATGCACCTATATAAATTTATAATAGAACTATAACATTCTAATGAATATATGAATAACCAAATGTTAATATTTATATTAGAATTACTTCAACAATACACATATATAACATTCATTATAAAATAATAACATAAACATAGTGTTTTTACGTTCTCACACTATTTCCTGTTTTTATTTGAACTTATATATATATATATATATATATATATATATATATATATACACACACACACATACATATATATATTAAGAGAGAGAGAGAGAGAGAGAGAATTTACTTGTTTGAAAATATCCACTAATAACATTCAGACCATTAGGTATGGATCTGTTGTGGTTGTGTTATAATAAGAAGCAACAAGGGGGGTGGTGTTCATGGTGTTATAACACCATGTTAAGAGGAGAGAGATAGAGAGAGATAACTTGACAACCAATAGAAGAGCTTGTTTCTTCTTGTCATGGAGACAACAAGAAGCACCACAACAAGATGTAACAAGAAGGGGGGGTGTTCTCCCCCATCACGATGCCGTTGAGGGTGCCACCTCAGCACAACGAGTACGCCACAATGCCCATACCGTCTGCTCTCAAAAGCTTAACACTTGAATTTTTTTTTTTTTGTTTTTTGTTTTTTTGTTTTTTGTGAATTACACTTTCAAAAATACCCCTATCAAACGAAAATATCCATTGACAAATGAAAACATCTAAATGAATTATATGAATATTTGAAAATATTCACTTAGAAATGAAGTTAGTCATTTGCATTATTCCTTGGCATTTGGTTGTCCCACGTTGCCCTTATAGAAAGAAAAGAGAAGAGTCTCTTATCTGTAAGAGGCAAGGTGGAAACTTCGGCATTTTCTTGATGACCTACTTTTGTGGGCTTGAGTTTTTGTTCTAGTCCTGAAAGCTTTTACGGTTAAAGATTTGTTGGGGGTGAAACTCATTTGCTTCATTTATCTAAGAAATGCACTATATTTACTAGAGTTACATCATGCATTGCATACCTCTTATTTACATGATTTTGAAACCAAAGTAAAGATTTCTTTTCTGAAAATTTTAAATGTAATATTATTTTTGAAACTCATGTAGCTTATAAGACATTACTATCTTATATATTTTATTTTAAATGTCATGTATCTCAAGGACATGCTCTTTAGCATTGGATAGAAAAGTTGAATAGTATAAAAGTAAGAGTAAATTACACGAATAGTCTTTATGGTTTGGTATAATTTGTACGTTTGATCCCTAATTTATTTATTTTAACTCAGAAGGTCCCTACAGTTTGTTTTTATTGCGTGTTTGGTTCATATATTACATAAAAAGACTATATTGTCCTTGATTTTTTTATTAATTTTAATTAAGATGTGGTAAGTAAGATAAGGTAAAATAAGGTGGAAATGGGGTTGAGTGTGTGTTTATTGAAATAAATTAAAAAATCAATGGCAAAATAGTCTTTTTGAGGTAAGACATGGACCAAGGGCGCAACAAAAACAAACAGTAGGGAGCTTCCGAGTTAAACAAGTAAGTTAGGGACCAAACGTATAAATTACCCCAAACCATAGGGACTATTCGTGTAATTTACTCTAAAAGTAATAGCGAGGAATGAGGAATGATGATCGGAAGATAACTTGACTCCTCAAACATCATTATGTCATGTTTTTAGGGAGAATACGATTTAGGATTAATAACACCATGTAGTTGTATTAAAATAGTTTGGTATATCCTAATATTTATTTATTTTATGATGATTTTATATGGTCGTATTAGTATGGATTTATCTAGTTTTCCAAAGGTCATGCTAAATTTTCAGTAGAAGTGATATAATATTTTTGGAGATTTGGCCAAGTTCAGTATTATCGTTCTTGATTGTAACCAAAACGTACTTTACGCTATCTTTCTATTGTAACAATTGGAATATAAAATAGGAGGTGTTACAATACCATTTTTACAAGAACACACTCTTTACATAACAAATTCATAACATTTAAAAACTAAGTTTATCCTATTTCTTTAACATCATAATTAACCAAATCTTAGGATGTTACAAATACATACCTCTTAAGAAGATTCTAGTCTTAGAATCACATCGTAGTCCATAAAACATGGTAGGATTTCATCATCTCTACTTTATTTTCGTAAGTTAGATTTGGCCCAAAGGAATACTTCCATTGAACCAACACAAGACCAATCTCTTTATTCCTCAATTTCTTTGTTTTTTCTTTGAAAATAACCTCCGATTCTTCAACCAACTTGCTGGGATTCTCAACCTTCATATCTTTTAGTACAATGATGTCATCGTTTTCTCCAAAATATTTCTTCAAGTACCTAACATGAAATGTATCATGTATTTATTCGTGTTCTATTGGTAAATCAATCTTAAAAGCTTGTGATTAAACCTTAGTCATTATCTTAAATGTTTTGATATACATAGGAACTAATTTACCTCTTTTTCCAAACCTCATGACAACCTTCAAAGTCAATTCCAACATAAACAAGCCTCTAATTTCCATATCAAATTGTCTTTTCTTCATAGTGGAGTAACTTCATTGTCGATCTTGAGCTATTTTAATATTAGCCTGAATTACTTTGATCTTTTTATTTGTTAATTTACAATTTCTTGACCCGTAAGTTTATTCCCCCGAATTCTAACCAACAAAATGGTGTGCAACACTATCTTTCATATAGTGTTTCATAAGGTGGCTTCATAATACTAAAATAATAATTATTTTTGACATGTTGTATGTAAATTCCAAAGGTAAGTGTTCTTTCTATTTTCCTCCAAAACTAATCACACATGCTCTAAGCATGTGTTTAAGTGTTTGAATAGTTTGCTCACTTTGACCATCCGTTTGAGGTGGTAAGTAGTGCTCAAATGAAAACTTATCCCTAATTCTTCTTGCAATGACTTACAAAACATTGACATGAATCAAGCTCCTTATCATACATAGTGATTGATTGCACAACATGAAGTCTTACAACTTCATC